GGCAGGTGAAATAGGGCAGGAGGCCTCAGGACAGCAGCTTTAATGAAAGTCACTGGCCTTTAAAATGTCCGATCACTGCCACTATGCTCTGACATGAGAAGTATAGACACATTCAATCAAAGTAGGAACCCCCCTGGCTGTAGAGTGAAAAGATTCTGAAATATTTAGTCCTAAACATAGCTAAAACTAGACCTTTCCCACAGGTTGATCCCAGCTGCGAATAGAGATTTCAATGTCCATTTTGGAGGCACTGCCGCACCTCTTTGATGTCGGGCTGCTTAAAAAAAAATCCAAAGCATAATGCTTCATTCTCAATCCCACTCCCCATTCCCCATTTTGTGTGCTCTCCTGAAATTACTGTGTCTACGATGGGAAAGTTTCAAGCTTCCTTCGGCATGACTCTCTTCCTCTGCACCGGCTATTCAGTCCAGCACAGATGTTCACATCAGCCCAAGAACAACAAGAGAAGCTTTTTACACCTGGCAACTCTCAAACAGAACTTGGCACTAAAGAACTACAAGGCTGTCCCAGATTGACCTTTCCCCTCTTGTGATGTCAATGGTCCTCCCGACCAATTAGAAGCTGGAAGCTGCCCTTGGACTTGCTGGGCTCCAGACACAAAGACAAATGATTGTATCAGATTAAATGTTTTTTAATGGTAGATGGAGAGGCCAAATGTGGGTCTCTCACTAGAAGCCATATGTGCATTTCTCTGGATATCTTACAAAATGCGTCTTAGTAAGCGAGCGAATGAAAGACTAGCTCAGACTAGCTCAGGCAGAAATGTGGAGGAGGATTTCTCGTAGCCCCAAAAACAGCTGTGTAAATCTAATTTTTCGACAATACTGCTGCATCATGTGCATGTAATTCGCAGGCTCCAACAGCTTGGAATCATGTGTTGCTTTGCATTTGAGGTGGATTGTGGGTTCCGACCCCAGCCTGCCAAGAAAAACAGTGAAAGCAAGCCACACATCCAGGCGCTTCTCTATTTTTAAACCCAAGTTTGGACCGAGAGCCTGTTGCCTACCACAGTAAAGGCTTCTGGAGCCATCATGGAACCCAATTCAAAAACACTGCCCCTGAGGCCAAAGCTTCAAATGGAGCAACAAGGTCATACACAGCTATTTTCTTGTTATTTCTTTCCTCCAAAAGTTTTGGTTCAGGCCCTCAATGTGGAGCCAAGCACGATCTCATGTAACGCTTTGTTGATGGTTTTCCACATTCGCTAGCAGAGACTTCTGATCATTAGGCCGCTGTCTTTATTGAGAGAACAGGTAGTGGAGGCCTTCACCTGACTATGAGGTGACTTGGTCCCTCCCACATCCCCCACCAGTTGGTAGATTAGACCCACCCGTCCCCCCATGACCGCCCCCTCAAAGTGAAGAAGAAGGACCTCTGCACCACTTATGAAGTGTTTGTTCTTCCTGTCAGCCTTCAATTGAGGATAATTGTCTCTTTAAGATCTTCAAGGGCCTGTGATCTGCCATCCATTGAACTCAAAAGAAGGTTATGTTTCACCTCAGTTTTTGGGAGGAGGGCCCTAGATTCAACAAGGCTTGCCTTTATACTAATGCGAAGACAGCTTTAACTTCAAACAGTCGGAACTGGATTCAAACTTGGAGCAGTCGGGCTGTGTTGAGCGCACGGCCGCCACGAGGCCGGCGAAGACTCGACAAGAAGTTGAAACTCC